ACCACACTCCCAGCCAAATAGTGAGCATATCTGCCTTTTCAAATCGTTTGTAAAATTAGTGTATTTAGTCAATATCAATTTAACCATACAGTTTAATAGTCTCTTTTCAGATATGGCTGATGAGGCCATCAAACCAACATTAGTCCACATGACAATGAAGTGCCATCAGAGGGACAGCTGGGATTGGGTGGAATTCCCGTTGAAAGTCAAACTGAAGGAGAGACAAGTCAACTGTGGAGGTCAGAAAGAACCAGGAAACTTACAGAAAAAGCAATACAGTATAGAAGTGAAGTACTAACAGGTAAACTCTGGGAAAATCATTTTGATCTAATAACCATTATAGACAATGTATAGAAATTTGTATCCGAGCCAACCATAGACGAAGAGAAATTGACAGCAGTCAAATTAGATTAGAAGTATTGCAAAATGTGGTTGATGAGCATCTTTGTGTCCTGCCTGGCGAACAGAGTACAGTGTTGGGTAAGAAAGACAGCGCCAGACAAGCCATCAATCAACTTGATTAAGCTCAAATAGTATTTAACAACAACAAGGACCTCATGTCAAGATTGCATATCAAGCATGAGGGATCAAAAATGTCTCCAGATATTCCAAAGCTTCAAGCAGTTCATACCAACGTCGAGAAGCCGCTGCAGAGGCAGCTGACTTGAAAACTAAGTTGGAGGCCCAAATACTCCTTAACAAGAAACAAGAAATGATGAGTTTGAAGAAAAATAAAGAAGTTTGGAGAAAAACAAAGGAGTTTACAAACTCAAAGGAAAATGTCTAATTTGAGACGGGAATTAGAAGAACAGAAACTAGCTGCCGAGTTGAAGGCAGAAGAAGCAAGAATGAAAGTGTACAGTGATGAAGAAGATGACTCTGATTCAGTTCGCAGCACATCTCAACTGTCGAAGAAAGTGCCTGAACTTAAGCACTTGTACACAAGTCCAACTGTAAAGAAGGAAATGGTACCTCCTGAGAAATATGCTCCTTCAATGCCACACACTAATAACATGAACACACACACTCAAGCTTACCTACCATCTTCAGAGTTGACAGCAGAAATGTTTGCCAGGACAATTGCTATGAGCCGTCTACCTACTCCTGAACCCCAAGTCAAGTACTGGAGACCCTCTTCAATACCCAGATTGGATATCATCATTCACCACCTAGATCGGAAGTAGAGGCATTCCACAGGATGAAAAAATTCATTACCTGAAACGTTATTTAGGAGGCCAGGCAAAAGAAGCAGTGAGTGCATTCTTTTCTTCTACGGAGCCAAAATGCCTTTGAGGAAGCGAAATGTGTTCTTGAAAAGAGATTTGGCAATCCCTACGTCATTGCGGAAGCCTTCAGATCAAAGTTTGATTTGAGGCAAAAGATCCAAACCAGTGACAAAACAGGTTTACGAAGATATTTTTACAGCAGTATGTTGTGGCTGCTACTGAAATCCGAGAACTCCATATACTTGATGACATGAGAGAGAACAGATTAGTATCTAAACTGCCAGACTAGTTAGGTCACAGGTGGAATCGTCTTATTGCTAGAAACAAAAGAGAGTGTGGTTGTTACCCGTTGTTTCGAGACTTTGCTACCTTTAAAATATTAAATGATCCTGTTGTAGTCTTTGAACCAAAGCAATTTAATGCAATGGAACCAGATGGTAATCATACTTACATGAAGTTGAATGGTTACTCTCGTTCGCAGCCCTTGAAAGGGTTTTTATGGACTACGGTTCAGACAGTTGATAAATAAAATGAATGCATATTCTGTGATAATGAAAATCAAACTGTTCAAGATTGTCGAAACTTTACCCGGAGAACCATGGACTTTATAATGAAGAAAGTCCTCTGTTTTGGATGTTTTGGAGAAGGCCACATGTCAAGACAGTGCGTCAACAGGTGTGAGTGCAAGGTTTGCCATAAGAAACACCCTACTCGTTTGCATGACAGAGATAAATTCACAAAATCAAGTAACACGACATCTGAAACCCATGAGATTGAACAAAAAGAAGCTACCTGTTGTAGTGTTAAGTGGTAACAAAGAATCAGTTTCCTCCATGGTAGTGCCAGTAGGGGTATCGCGCAAGGAAAACCCAGGCAGTGAGATGCTAGTCTATGCTCTGCTCGACACAATGTCAGATGTCACGTTCATGTTGGACCAGATCGGGGAGAACCTACAAGCGCACTCTAGCCCAGCAAAGCTACGTTTGTCAATGATGACTTCAAAGTGAGACCTTGTAGAAAGTCATAAATATGAAAATCTCCTGGTAAGAGGATTTAACTCTACGTCAAGGATTCCTCTTCCAACAACATATTCCACAGATCATATCCCACTGGACAGGTCCCACATTGCAACGCCTGAAACTTGTGAATGGTCTCACCTACGTAGGATTGCAGATCTGCTGACTCCTAAGCAGGACGGCCCAGTTGGTTTGTTAATTGGATACAACTGTCCAAGTGCTTTAGCACCTCAGAATTGCGTCTTGGGCAGTGGCAACCAACCAGATGGTGTAGAAACAAAACTTGGTTGGAGTTTTGTTGGTGGATCTCAGGCTCAAATTTGATGCATTTGGTTATACCCACACGGTTGTTAGCAGAGCTATTCATGCCCCTATCAAACCTGACAAGCAATCAAACGTGATGTATGTATATAAGACTACAATCAAAGAAGTCACCATTGCTGATTTGAGTATCGTAGAAAGAGACTTCAGAGATGAAGATTATAAGACTATGACTCAGGAAGACATAAAGTTTATAGAAATCGTATCAAATGGTATTCGACAGAGAAAAGATGGGTATTATGAAATGCCGCTACCATTTAGGGAGGGAAAACCTCCACAGTTGCCAAATAATCGTCAAGCAGCCATGCATCGTGCTATAGGCTTGTTGAAACAATTCCAGAGAAAAACAGAATATCAAAATCACTACACCACTTTCATGAGAAAGATACTAAAGAGAGGTGATGCAGTAATAGTCCCATATGATGAGCCACTGACATCAACGCCATGGTATACACCTCATCATGGAGTATACCATCCCAGGACACCGAATAAAGTGAGACTTGTGTTTGAGTGTAGCGCTCGTTACCAGGGTTCAAGCTTGAATGACCACCTTTTGTCAGGTCCAGACTTGATCAACCCCTCAATTGGAGTACTCTGCAGGTTCCGTGAACACCCAATTGCTTTTTGATGTTGATGTTGAGAAAATGTTCCATCAGTTTCGTGTGAAGCCCGAACACCAAGACTTTCTCAGGTTTTTGTGGTGGGAAGACAAAGACTTCACACAAGCCCCAGTGGATTTTAGGATGAAAGTCCATTTGTTTGGAGCTGTTTCATAGCAAGCTTGTGCAAACTTTGGCTTAAAACAACTTGCCAAGGACTACAAGCACCTTGAAGAGAACGCTTCAGAATTCTTGAAAAACAACTTCCATGTTGATGATGGGTTGAAGTCAGAACAAAGTGTAGAAGCTATGAAGGATCTCATTTACAATGCTGTCGAGATATGTGAAAGGGGTAACTTGCGGCTACACAAAATTAGTTGTAATAATTCAGAGGTAATGTTAAGTATTCCAGAGTCGGAAAGAGCGACTATAACAAAGACTGACCTTGAACCAAGTCAGAAGAGTTTTTCGCCAGAGAAGGTTTTAGGTATACAGTGGTGCATCCAATCAGATACCTTTTGTTTTAAGTTGACATTAAAGGATCACCCCTTGACTCCTTGTGGGATTCTAGCGACATTTGCCTCAATTTACGACCCCTTAGATCTTATTTCGCCGTTAGTTTTAGTTGGAAAGATGATACTCCAAAGAATGTGCCAGGACAGATCAGATTGGGATGACCCATTGCCAGATGATCTTCGTCCATATTGGGAACGCTGGAAAGTCGAGCTGTTGAAACTGAGTAAGATCAACATTCCGCAATGCTTCATTCCAGATGGTTTGGGTCTCAGTACAACTTCATCACTTTTCTGACACGTCACTTTCTGGTTATGGACAGTGTTCATGTGTGCGTCTGAAGACCACAGATGAGAGGGTACACTGTGCCTTGGTCATGGCAAAGGCCAGAGTTGCCCCATTGAAGCCTGTAACTATACCTAGACTGGAACTACAAGCTGCAACAATTTCAGCAAAGGTTTCTAAAGTTCTCAAGACTGAAATGGGATATAAAGACATGTCACATCATTTTTGAACGGCTTCCAAGGTGGTCTTGGGATAAATAAAAAATGATACGAAGAGACTCAAGATGTTCGTCGCAAACAGGGTTCAACGAATTAGAGAAGTTTCCCAGCCAGCACAGTGGAAATATGTTCCAACCATTGATAACCCTGCAGATCATGCCACATGTAGTCTAAAAGCTGATGAGATCGCCAAATCCAACTGGCTTACAGGCCCTAAGTTTTTGTGGGGAACAGAGGCTTCACCTCAGACTGCAGACATTGACTTGGAAATCCAACCAGATGATGTAGAGGTTAAACCGACAGTTGTACATATTGTACAGTGAACGAAGTTCACCAGCATCACAGAGAGGATGAGCAGATTTTCTAGCTATTCAAAGGCAGTGACAGCAGTGGCAGTCATTGTTGAATGTTCACTTAAGTAACGGGGGAAGATATTCTCCAAAATAGAGGTTAGCAACTTGGCAGAGACAAACCTTATCAGATTTATACAGCAAGAAACATTCAAAGACAGTATACAGAATCTCCAGAAGAGATCCATTTCTAGTCATAGGGACGATCCTCTAAAAAATCTGGACCCCTTTCTAGATGAGAATGGTTTGCTACGGGTGGGAGGCAGATTGAAAAGGTCAGCCTTATATGAAGTGAAGCATCCAATTTTGTTGCCAAGAAGAAACTATTTCTCAACGTGGGTTGCTAGTCAAGGTCCTTATGATTTGCTGTGACCAGTGAACTGAAGGAGAATCTTAACAAGTTAAACGTTGATAGTATCACAAGAAAATTTCTCTCCCAAAATTGTGAGTTCTTATTTAACACTTCTTCATCATGTATGTATGGGAGAGGCAGATCCGGACTATCAGAAGTGTCTTAGATGGAATCCTGATCCAGAATGGAACCCAGCTGAACACATCAGCATTGTGTACATTCCTGTATGAGACAATGGCTATAATCAACAGCAGACCACTGACAGTGAATGATTTGGAAGATTCTAACGGACCTCTTCCTCTATCACCAAACATTATCCTCACAAGGAAGTCTGGAATTGTCCCCCCTCCACCTCCTGTAGATTTTCTGAAGGAAGATATATACGCTAGAAAGAGGTGGTGCAGAGTCCAATATATAACCAACCTGTTCTTGACAAGGTGGGCAAAAGAATATTTGTGCAGCCTTCAGGCGAGAAAAACCTGGCAAGGTACCAAAGAAAATATCATAGTTGATGATATAGTTATGCTAAAAGACGAGAATGTCTTATGCTCAGATTGGAGATTGGCTAAAGTGGTAGAGACCTATCACTCTAGTGATGGTCTGGCAAGAAAGGTAAAGCTACTAATGCCACTCCAGACTTGGATAAAACAGGTAAGCCAATTTACAATAGAACAGTTTTAGACCATCCAATTCATAAGCTGATTCTTCTCATTTCCTGTCATGAAGGATTGAAATGCTGTTTCTTCTTCTACTGAGTTGACATAGTAGTTGATCTTGATCGTTCACATGTTTTACATTGATAAGGCGATATTTGTTTATTCCGAATACCTCCTCCTTTTAGAAATCATCTTGAATGATTTGGGTGGGAGTGTGGCTGCCGTTGCCCGAGCAACCTAATCTTGCTCCGTTCCTGTGCTTTGTTCAGCCTTGTTCATTTGTCGGCATGCTATGTACACGTGAAAGACGTCTTCTTCCGAATTATACTACAGGTCATACTAAAGGGTACTGTAGTTTTGTTGTTCAGACTTGTTCCTGATTCTTTTAGTACTTCCACTTGTTTATTTACCTCATGGCAGTTTTGGTGTTGTGCAAGTATCGTTTATGCTGCCAACGAGTACTAGGGTATTATTTGAGGGAGAAGACCTTTGTTATGTTTAGACTAGTTTCGGAAGCCTTATCGATTTAGTTGATTTATCGTTGGCGTAGTTTACATGCCGAGTTGCCTACAGTCGTGTAGTTTGAGTTGACACTCATCAACAATTTTCAGTCGTTTTCCAGACGATTATGCAAGTCGCATTCATGTCCAATTTTATCTATATTTTGTGTACATGTACGATAGATTCGTCTAGTCTCGCCACGAGGTGGCGCACTATACTGTAATATCATTGCCTATCTATTTGCATAGCAGCACTGGTACTTATTACAATATAAATACGCAACTTCTTGTTATTATTTTCTGAACGTATACTCTTGTATTTCACAGTTTTGACGGTGTTACAATCTTCTCAATATTGTTCGTCATAAATAAAGTGAAGGTTACATCAGTATTTTGCGTCGGTTACTAGGGCAGCTACACATAGTTCTTTAAATACATAATGTGACACGTATGAAAATATAAAGGATCATACAAATTATTTTTATAGTTGTGATTTCAAAATTCAAAGTGCAATGTTAACATTTAAAAATATACAATATGCCACAGTGTTTAGTGAGCACACTCATTCATACGTTTAGCATATAAGCTAAGTAAGGTCAGAAAACGTTTAATTACATGTTCTGGCCTTAGCATGAATTACATACTGCGGCGTTTAAGCCCTTCTGATACCACTAACACATTTATATTTACTCTAAGTTATGACAATTAAAAGCAACATTGCTATATTGAAATGGACATTACTCGTGTTATACTGAAAACATACCCAACTTGAACTTCGTGGATGTTAACGCCGTAGGTATTATAACAAGTAAAGCTGACTTACATACACTATTACTTAACATTTTGTTTTTCAATAGTTGCGATTGGCTAAGTCTGTTTCACGTGTGCGACTTGAAGCCGTCAAGGTGACTGATCAGCGAGTGTGCATGATCAATGAAATTATACAATGCATCAAATTAATTAAGATGTATGCATGGGAGATGTGTTTTTTAAAGAGTGTAAAAGGTATTTATTATTACACACTATCTCATCTATTAATACTATGTATTCCTGTGTTAACACACCACCTCATATGTTAATACTATTCCTGTGTTAACACACTACCTCATATGTTAATACTATTCATGTTTTAACACACTACCTTATATGTTAATACTATCCGTCTGTTAACACACTACCTCATATGTTAATACTATCCCACTGTTATATGTTATATATATATATATGTCATATGTTAATACTATTCCTGTATTAACACACTACCTCATATGTTATTACTATTCCTGTGTTAACA